TTTCTTTCTTTCTTTCTTTCTTTCTTTTTCTTTCTTTCTTATATGAGGAGGATTTGAGCCACAACCAGCAGTGCTCAGGGCTTATTCCTGGCTCTGTACTCATTCACGGGACCATATGGATTTTCAGGGATTTTAACCCTGGCTGACTTCATGCAAGGCAAATACCTGTCGAACAATATCTCCAGCCCCTGAAGATGGTACATTTCTTAGATAAATGGAAAACTAGGAGTGAAGTTAGTTTAGTGAAGGAGTAAAATAGATTTATTTTGAACATGTGAGATTTGAACTGAAAATCAAGATCAAGCAAGCTTTTGCCGTTCTGCTCTGCGGGAGGTTTCTGTCCTCCCTGGCTCCCCTTAGGACACCTGCGTTACCATTTGGTAATGTGAACGAGAAACATTTGACAGGTGTACCGTTCCAGTCAAACTCCCCACTTGGCACTGTCCCCGGAGTGGGTCGGGCTCTTGGAGCCAGAAGTAAGAGCTCCTCGGGGCTCGCCACCCCCTACCCTTGCCTCACCAGATCAGTGAAAAAACGATCATTGAGGTTTCTCGGGAGTTCAAGATGCCACTTTGTCTAACGTTCATTGATTTAAAGAAGGCCTTTGATTCTGTTGAGACTGAAGCAGTCATCGAAGCCCTAGTCAATCAGGGCGTTCGGAATCCTCTGTGAGCTGTATTGTGGATTCACTACCAGGTTCTCACCAATCTACATTGGCATCAAGAGAGGGGTTCAGCAGGGTGATACCATTTCACCGAAACTCTTCAGTGCCACCCTTGGGAACATCATGCGACGACTGGAATGGGAAGGAATGGGAGTGAAGATAGACAGTTGGCAACGACACCACTTCCGCTTTGCTGATGACATCATTCTTATAACACCAAACATCAGCCAAGCAGCACAAATGCTGACTGACTTCCACCGTGAGTGTGGAAAGGTTGGACTACAGCTGAATCTCACAAAGACAATGTTTATGAGAAACGGTCTCATTCCTGATGTTCCATTCACTCTCAATGGGACAAACATCTCCAAATGCAACAGTTATGTATACTTAGGTCGAGAAGTCAACATGATGAATGACCTGACACCTGAGTTGCGCAGGAGGAAGAGAGCGGCTTGGAACGCTTATGTTCTTGAGAATGTAGAAGAAATAGCTAAGAGGATGAAGAACCTCCAGCTCCGAGCACATCTCTTTGATTCCATGGTTCTTTCTACATTAACATATGCTTCAGAGACCTGGGCACTACGAAAACAGAATGAGAACACTATTTGGATCTCCCAAAGAGGAATTAAAAGAGCTATGCTTGGAGTAACCTGCTTCACTCAGATGAGAGAAAGAATCTGGAGTTCTCAATGCCTCTTTTGCAGACCACAACACCCAAAAGGAGAGAGAGAACACAGGGGATTGCCCTGCCACAGAGACAGGGGGGATTGGGGGATGGGGGTGGGAGGGATATTATCCATGGTGGTGGAAAATGGGCACTGGTGGAGGGATGGGTATCTGATCATTGTATAATTGAAACCCAAGCACAAAAATTTGTAAATCTACAACTGTAAAAAAAATAAAATAAAATAAAGGGGAAAAAAGTGCAAAAAAAAAAAAAGAATCTGGAGTTCTGACCTCTGTCGACGATCAAGAATCAGGGATGCTGTCTCATTTGCCAAGGCATCAAAAATCAGATGGGCTGGACACATAATGAGATTTGGAGATGACCGCTGGACTAGAGCCATTACCGACTGGATTCCAAGAGATGTCAAAAGATCGTGTGGCCGCCCACCTTTGAGATGGTCAGACTTCTTCGTCAAGACCCTGAAAAATCGGTTTGAGGCTTTTCGTGTTCCTAGAATAAGTAGACGCCATTGGGCTACATTAGCACGGGACAGGGATGATTGGAGACGTTACTGGCGCCCGCTCGAGCAAATCGATGAGTAACAGGATGTCAAGTGATCAAGTGATCAAGTGAGATTAGAAGTGCATAAGAAACATCTCGGAAGAAATATAAAGAAGGCAATAGTGTGAATGGAATCTGGTGATTAGGACTCTGTATTTAAATATTCAGGTTGTATCATATAGATATTTGAGAACTGATGTGTCTGGATGAGTTCCCCTACAGAGGGAATGTAATACACCTAGACTGAGTGCATGGAACACAGATAGTGAAGGGGAAAATGATCTAATGAAAGTCTGGAAAGGAGCAGTTGATGGAAAGTAAGGGAATTAAAGAATTGCAAGTTTTGAACTAAAGAGATTGCCTGGATAATACTTTGACCTTACGTGCAGCAACCTTGGTTTTTCCCCAGTGCCAGATTGATCCCCAGCACCTCATTATTATTATTTACTACAACTACACATAGTTCAGTGTCAGTTTCTAACACCGCTAAGTCTGCAGCTTCACTCATTTGATATAAATGAAGCTGCATTCATATCAAATTCATTCATTCATATACTCGTTTATGTGACAGTCATTCATTGGGTTTGTGAGTTTTCAGTATATTTGTGAATGGTTTCAATAACATCTTGACATTCAAGCACATTTGAAAAGAAAAACTATCTAGACTCCTATAATTTATTACTGTAACATTTTCACATTCCTTCTAATTGCTGCCCATATGTTTTCATAACTTTTATATAACCTTATTAATTAAATTGTGAGCTTTTCCCTTTGCAGATATGTTTATATAATGTGTTAATTAGGGCATCAAATACTTTATGAACACACAGCACTCATAATTGAATTATTTTAATTTCCAATCAAATGAAATACTATTATTATTTATCTAGAACTCTGCCATGATCATTGAGCTATGTGCAGGACCTCATACGTCTAGGGTTCTCTCTGGTTCTGTTCTCAACAACAGCATGAGTGTGATGCAGTCACCACTTTTGCAATCTCATACATGAGACTGCACATTTCAGTGATTCCGGGTCTGAAGACTCACTCCTCACATCTCTCCTGCAGTCTCCACCTTTACATAGGCTTTAGCCTTGGGAAAGATATGATGCCCCCCCCAACACACACACTCAGGGGAGCTAGTTTAAGGACTAGTGTACATGCATTTGACACAGGAATTTGGAATCCCTGGCATCAAGTGGCATCCCCGTGTATGCATTTGGAATCCCTGGCATCACTTGGCATCCCCGACATATCTGGGTCCCTGAGTATTCCCGATCCAGGCAGTTCCCAAGCATCACCAAATAGGGCTTTTTTGGTTCCTGGCGCTACAGGACCCAGGTAGCACCACAGTCTCATTTGGTCTTTGCATAACCAATGGCTCCATTATCTGGATATCACTAAGGGTGACCATAAATTCCCTGAGCACCACTTCGGACATCCCCACCCAAAAGATACAGCTACCTTTTTTAAAAATCGAATCCATAGTTAGAGATAATAATTAACACTGTATAGGTTGCTATGAAAATTAGTGAACAGAAATATACAAAGTGCCAGTTGCATTGTAAGAACAACTTACATAAAGCACTCTTCAAACATCAGTTCATGTCTCCAATATGATTCATGAATGAATAACAAATTAAAGAATAGCTTTATTTTTTCTTCCTGCAGGTTAACTTTAAAAGTTCTTTCAGATTATTTCCTTTTTGTGTGTTTAATAGCCATATTATGAGCATGTAGCACGTGCCAGGTATTCTCCATAGATAAAAAATTATTTCCTGTAGTAATTTCCATGATCAGTAATTGAATTATAAGAATATATCCAGACTCAGTTACACTATCATCTTGCCATGGAGGGTTAAACTCTTTAAGGCAGGTAAGTCTGTCCTTCCTTCCTTCCTTCCTTCCTTCCTTCCTTCCTTCCTTCCTTCCTTCCTTCCTTCCTTCCTTCCTTCCTTCCTCCCTTTCTTCCTTCCTTCCTTAGGTTACTCTGGCTGTACACTCAGGAATTACTCCTAGTGGTGCTCGAGGGACCATATGGGATGCCAGAGATGAAACCCAGGTCAGTGGCCTGCTCACTGTACTATCCCTCGGGACCCTGGATTCCAGTTTCTTGTAAAACACATTACTGAGATTTCATTAACTCTAAGAATGCAGTAAAGTCAAGGAGTTGACGTGAAGGAACGTATGTGTGAAGAAACAAGTCCGTTTGGCAGAACGCTTTCGCCAGGGAAACCTCTGAAATTGGGACAAGCGATGAAGGACCTTAGCCAGTTAGGTAAGAAATCAGGAAGGACCACCAAAAGCAAACAACAGAAGGTTCTTGGAAAAGGACTTGACTAAAGGTCACTATAAAGCTTCTCCAGGTGATTTTGCGAACCTAGATTGGGACAAGACATCAGAGGCTGCTTGCAAAAAACAGGAGAAAAGGGGGTTAATTTGGAACAATTCTTTCAAGATGATTTGCTCTAACAACCATTCTTCTGCTCTCTTGGTTATAAGCGTGCGGCACGCCTATTTTGTGCCAGGCAACGGAGAGGCAGTGGCCTTATCCTACTGGAAAGCACAGATGTACGGTTGTGGTGAAGACCCGTCCGTCCTTCCTCCCCTGGCCTCTAGTAAGAGCCAGAGCGCTGGGCCACCCAGATGGAGTCTGGTGCTTGCTGTCGCGCACAGGCTGAGCGCGCAAATCCTGTCGCCTGCAAGGCTTCCCGGTCTTGTAGACTGATTCCTAAATAAATACACAGAACCGGGAAGAAAAAAAAAAACACCAAAAAAGACCGGGTGCAAGGCTACGCAATGCCAGCGTGCGTGCGCCGAAGTGTCCATCTGGGGATCCAGTTTCCCACGCGTCCGGCCCGTGCCAAGCTGCAGGACCCACGCTCCCCGTGCTCGGGCTCCCGGGGCACCCAGCGCCGCCTCTGGGGGGCGGGGAGGGGGTTCGTAGGCGGGGTGGGGGGGGAACCGCAGGGCTGTCCCGCCCCCCCCAGCTCCTCCCCCGCGGTGCCGCCCCGCGGCCACGGCTCCAGGAAGCCCCGAGCGCTGGTGGCGGCCGAGCCCCGGCGGCGGGTGGAGCCCGGGCGGCGCTGCCACCAATCGCGGGGTGCTGGGGGAGGAGCCCGAAAGGGGGAAAAAGAAAGTGCGGCGCAAAGTAAGAGGCTTATTGGGGGAAGACCGGCCGGATCCGGGCACCCCGGGCTGCTTTGCAACCCCAGGCGCGCAGAGGAGCCGTGCGGGGTCCCTCCCTACCCTCCCTGCCACCAGTCGGCGCCCCCTTCCCTGCGTCCGTTCAGCTCCGCGGCAAAGGTAAGGCCAGCGAGGGACTCCGGGGGAAGTCGCCTACGGACCGAATCTTGCCGTAGCGGGATGCTTGGAGATCGTCTCACTTCTAGTTGGTGCCCAGCGCGGGTAAACTGAGGCCCGGAGCCCGAGCGCGCTTGTGCTCCGTCACCCTGCTCGTGAGTTCCGTGGCCCCCGCGCTAACCCACTTAAGTGTCAGCGCCGCATCTTCGCTGGGCAGGATTGGAAGTCGCGCTGCCCGTGGGAAGGCGGCGCGGTGCTGTCCCCGGCTGCCAGCCCCGGGAGGGAGGCGCTGCCCGGGGCCCTCCCCGAGCGCGGCTGGAGCGGGGCTGGAGCGCGGCTGGCCGGGGACGGTGTGTCCCCGCGTGCCCACGCACGGGACCAGCAGTCGCTCGGAGCCCCGAGCCCCGACCATCCCGGGACGGGCTCCTGGCGGCGTGGCTCGCTGCTCTCGTGCGCCCCTGGCCCCCCGCTGTCTGTCGGATTTGGGGCGATCGGTGGCTAGGTGTGGACCGCCCAGGTGCCGGTGACCTCCGGGTGTTCACTGTTCTCTCTCCAGCTTGGCAGGAAACGGCGTTTGGACGCGGTGGTGTGTGTGTGTGTGTGTGTGTGTGTGTGTGTGTGTGTGTGTGTGTGTGTGTGTGTCGGGGCGGGAGGGTTAGTATGTGTCCTTATTTCAGAATAACTGACTTGCTCCTGAAACCGGAGACCCCCTCACTTCCAGTCTTGGGAAGGAAAGAGGGGGACCTCATTTAAAGAGGAAAATAAAACCACAAACATTAAGGCGAACTTGTACGTTTCCTTTAAGACCCATTCCTTGGATGTCTTGCCTCCAGCCCCTAGTTGTGAAATTGTGAACCGCGGTGCCTCTCAAAACATTTTGCTGCTCTGCCGGGCTCCGAGATCTCCAGGTTACCAGGTTAACTACCAACTGAGCGAGGGAATTTGCTTGCTTTTGATTCCATCCATGACACCTATTAGCAGTGTGAACCTGGGCAAGTTCTTCCATCATTCTGATATATATATATATATATATATATATATATATATATTCACAGCATGGGAACTCCAATGGCCCCTTAGGGCAACTGGAAGGTTGGATAGAGTAATTCAAATAACATGGATAGTGTTTCTGGGCCATGATCAGGTTGAAATTGATAATAACTATTATTAATAGTGTTATATAGTATCTGAGGAGAGTGGGTTTTCATGAAGCTGACTTCATACACCTTAGAGTGACTTAAAAAATATACAAGACCCACCAAAAATATATGAAAATGTGTTTTCTTCTTTCTTTCTTCCATTCTTTCCTTCTTTTGCCCACCCTCTCCCTCCTTCTCTCCTTCTCTTTCTTTCTCTTTCTTTCTTTCTTTCTTTCTTTCTTTCTTTCTTTCTTTCTTTCTTTCTTCCTTCCTTCCTTCCTTCCTTTCTTTCTTTCTTTCTTTCTTTCTTTCTTTCTTTCTTTCTCCCTCTCTCTCTCCCTTCCTTCCTTCCTTCCTTTCTTTTTCTTTCTTCCTTTCTTCCATTTTTTTATATTGTGTTTTGGAAAGGCTTCCTACCTGTGACTTTGATCATGGATTTCTGACTTGCAATATCAAATGAACGTTACTCAGGGGAGCATCTTCCTTACTGTTTTTAGGCCAAACCTGAGGTCTGTGAGTCTCCAGTCTGGGACTTTATTTCCTATTGTAGGTCAGACAGGCAGCTTTATAGTGTTCAGCTCAGACAGGAAAACAACAAATGTCTCCTTTTGTATTATGAAAGGATAATATTAGATACTATTAGATCTAGTCCTTTTGAACACAAACTTTTCTTATTTAACCACAAATATCCCCCCCAACTATCTTCCTATACAGCTGACATTTTAAGATGAAATAGCTTCCTCCTGCACCCCCCATCTTGCTTCAGACAGTTGATTTTATTCTGATAATTATTTACTTTTATCTCCGAGTTATGTTCTAAGTCCTTGAATTGAGCATCCGACATTTGAAGTTGGCTGCCTCCTTCACAGCCCGTTGCATTTGCCTGCAGTACTGATGAGTGAATGGAAGGGGTGTGATACATCTTGCGGGAAGGAAAGAGCTTGTTGGTGCCTCCCTGGTCGCTCCTGCACTGGGCATTGGCAGAGAACGGACTCACTCGCTACTGTCAGCCTGTTCCGTGTCCACGCATTGTGATGAGCTGGCCAGAATACATCTGAACCTAAGCCTGAAAGACTAGAGACTTGTGGAGAAAGGGGGAATGTTCAAAATAGGTCAGAACAAGGGAAGAGGCTGGAAGAGAAATTGAAAGTTAATCATCTTATTCTAGGTTCTAGTTTTTTTTTTTTTGGAGGCGGGGGCATTAAATGCTCAAGGCTAACTAGTGGCTCTGCACTCAGCAATCATCCCTGGCGAGCTCGAGAGTGATAATGGGATGTGAGGGATCAAACCCAGGTCGGTCATGTGCAAGACAAATGCCCTACCGTGTAATAGTACTAGTACTCCTGCCGCTTAATTCTAGTTCTGAAGGAAATATTACCTAGCCGTAATGTTTCTCCTTGTCCAGATTGTTATTCCCTTTCCACACATATATGCATAAACTTCGAAATTTTCAAAGCCTATTCCACATACTTTATCTTCCAGGCTAACTTTGAATAGCCCCTTCCACTATCAATGATAAACACATTGATAGTGGAAGGAACCCAGGAGTTTGGTCAGATTTAAAGTCCAGCCCAGTTCCTGTGTAGCTAGATAATATCCAGCATTTTTTTTTTTTTACCATTTAGAGCTTCTGTTTGATCCAATTCTAAAATGGGGTGAGACAGAGCTTACCCCAGTGATTTATGGGAGTATTGGATTAAGTGGAAAATGTAGTGCACCTGCACTGTGTGAGTGTGCATTAAATGGTGTCTCCTCTCTGTTAATGTCAGTGAACTGGGAAGAAAATGGAATGAGATTCTGAAAAATGCGAGGTTACCATGAATGGTGTGGGTAGTAAGTTTCAGATTAGGAATAGGATTCATGTGTTCTGCTTTTTTTTCTCCCCCATCACAAGACCTCCAAAGAGATCTTTTGCGGTTTATTTCCGTTGTTCCATTGATCTGATTTGGCTGATGATAACTGTGTATCTTTTCTCTCCTGAAGAGAATAATTCCTGCGTGCAGCTGCAGTCCTTAAACAAGCTTGGAGAAGTTTAGTGGGGTAAGCTCTAAAAAAGTTTCAGAGCAGCGATTTTCAAGGTAGCCTTCCTACTCTTCTGAGATTCTAGTAAGCTTCCAGGAGGAGGATTCTTTGAAGATACAAAGCTCAGATTAGGTCACATTTTCCTTCCTGTTTTGAGTGCTCTCTTCCCTCTACCTTCCTCAAATTCATTCTCGGGTAGCAAGAAGATTGAGGAACACACGCCATAAATGACCATAGCATTTTCCCACTTCCTTTGCCAATTTTGTGGTTAGAGGATGAACTAGAATGTTAGGAAGAGGAAGCTTTTCAGAAATGACCACTGCTTGCTGGAGGAACTGAGCTCTGGTCTAGAGTTCCAGCCTTCCTGGTGGAAACTGATGGCTGCAGGCTTGTGTAGAAGGACGAACTGATCTACTTTGGCCCAGGCAATGGGGCCATTAATCTGTCGAGACTCCCTATAGGATATCAGGCCTCTCTGCTTTGCAGCAGGCAGACAGGCTTGCAAATGCAGTGCTGGGAGACACATTCTGTTCCTGGCTTTGGCATTCTGAAGCAGGTATTGCTTTTGCCAAAAGGTAGGCAGTTAGCATCATTTCACCTGGCTCAGTTAGAAAAGCAAAATGTGGCTGGAGGAAATCTGAGCAGGAGCAGAAGAGAGAAGGAAAGGTTATCTCCAATATAGATGCAGTTTCATCTGTTGCTCAACTTTGTCAGGCTTTTGCTGGTTGACACAGATGTAGGGTCTGGTGAGTCACCATTGCCTTGCTGGTGAAATATTAAAGCCACCTGCTGTGCTCTTTGTCCGTTTTGGGAATTGTTCTGTGGGGGAAGTAGTTGCTCAGAAGAACAGGGAAGACGGTTTTCCAACATTTGGTATCTGTTAATTCTGAGGATTAATTCAAGTTCTCTCTTCATTGGCTCAGCTCCCCCCCCCCCCGACCCACCCCCACACGCACCCTGACAATGAGGCTTTATGGTTTCTACTGAGAGGTCCTTAAGACACTGTTTTCTAGATTGACTTTATTCTGATGAGCTCCCGCAGCTGAGACCATGTGGATTTTGAGTCTGGCTGGTACCTGAGGCAAGTCTCTGTACTGAGATGGGCATCCATTTTTTAGCTAGGAGATAGGAACATGGAAGTTTAGTTGGAAGCCTGAGTCCTTTTTTCAGAATCTCAATCAGAGCAGCCAGTTAATCACCATGAAAAATGGTTTCTTTGGTCCTTGGCTTGAATTTATAGATGTATTAATTGGTGAAAATCACAATTATGTATGTATCTCTTACTGAACCCCATTTTGCTTTTTTTAAATGATTTTTACATGGACAACATCCTTCAGCCTTGGCAAATAAGACTGTGATTACTTTTTAGCACTAGAGACATAGAACAAACATCCTAACCTGAGTCACAGCAAAAGCAAGTATGAATACTCAGACTCCTCTATGGATTTCATTTTAGGGCTGGAGAAAACTTTAACTTGTGTGGCATCCTGGACTAGGATTGAAGACCAGAAGTAGGGCCGGTGGTTAACGCCATCACCATCTGCCATTCTCATCCTCCTATGCCTTGAATATGATGAAAAAGTCACTTTGCCTTTGATCCCCAAATGGGGGAGACTGGACTAAAAGTATCTCTAAGTTTCTTCTGTTACAGTGCATTGTTATTTTTCTTTAAAATTTCTTGCTATTTTAAAATTCTGTCATAATATCTCTTTGCAACAGTCAAGGCTAAAATAGGGAAAAGGGAATAAAGAAAACATATTCTTATTGTTTTATGCCAGCAGATCTATTTTTCAGTCAAACAGAGGAGGGCAAGAGAAATCAGCATTCATTGGTGCATGTACT